CGAAAAAGCTTTGAACCAAGATTGTAGAGATTTTAGCACTTTTAGTTATTACAGCCAAGCAGTATAACACCAAGAACAGCCAAATCAAAGAACACTTTGCTAGAGTTTAGCAATAATTTAAATATGGCATAAATATTTGAATTTTGTATTCTTTTGTGAGTGGCTTATATATAGAAAAAGGTAACATTCTGAAAAAAAAAAGTATTTGTGATGAGTTGCATGGGCAGTTGTTCACAGTTGATTGTTCTGTCTGGAATTACTTATTTATTAACTCATCTCATCAGGATGAAGTACCCAGGCCTGCCATCAGAGTTGGCATCAATTGAAAATCTTAGCAACAATCTCGGCAAGCATTGCAAACATGAAAGGCTGTGTTTTCACAGAGTTGCCCCATTGCTTTGTTCTTCATTTGGTACACCCTTTGGTATCTGCACTTAAGGTGTCTGAGTGTGCTTGGGCTCCTGTAACCCTTCAGGCAGGGAAGGGAACCAAGTGCAATTGTCAAAAGGCATCCTGAGGACAACACCAGGTGAGGGACAGAAGTGCTGTACCTGCACTGCTTTAGAAAAACCATAACCTTGATATGATTCAGTCTTTACAAACACTTCAATAGTAAGCCACAGACCTGTGTACTCAGGCAAGCCAGGACTTTGAAGGCCTTAGAACAAAAGCAAAATATAAGATGCAGAAGTGATTAATTAATGAAGAAAATTAACTTTGCCCTTACTGGTGGTATTTCTGGGTTTGTGGCAGAATAAGGTTTTTAGATTCTACAGCTGTAAATGCTTTTATCTTTAAGAAAGTTTTTGCTATGGTTTAGTTTTCTAAATTTTGAATAAAATGAAATATAGTAGACATGAAGGATTTTTTTTCTGAGTTAGTTTTTCTTGGTGGTTTTTTTTGTTTGTTTGTTTGTTTTTTTTTTTAAGACTTGGAACTGAGATTAAATTTTTATGGCTGAGTAGTAAATCTCTGGAACAGAATTTCCTGATATAAATGACAACTCTGCTTTAATTATAGAAACTTCCAGGCAGCTATTGTATTAGAGCAGGATCCTTAACAGACTTTCCTTTTTAAGACCATATTCAAGAGTAACAGGACTTGCCATAAATACAGCTTGCTTTCTGTTGGAGGAGTTCACTTGTCTTTGAATGAATTACTAGGTTCCTTTTGCATGGTTTATTTTCCCAGCAAGAATGTCTTCAGATCTGATGGAAATGTTTTAAAATGGGTCTCAATATATTGAATGTGGAGCATCTTCTGTACTATGCAACTATTTCAGAAATCATGTATGGAGAAATAAAGCACTGGTACATAGTTCTAAGAAAGCTTTAACATCTGCAAAATTAACTTGTCACTAATTTTGCATGCTTCAGTTACTGGAAAATGTAGCTCTCTGAAGCACCCAGCTTTTTTTTATTATTACATTACATACCTATCAGTGACTTGCATCTGAAATTGTTTTCATCACTGATCTTGTTCTTTTGGTGCCTACACATTTATTTCTCATTTCATGCTGGAAATGTTATGCCATCTGGTTACTTGCGTAATTTTGTAAAGAGAAGACTTCATTAATTTGCAGTTTTAACTTCTGCACCTGCAACTTCCATTTACTGGTGTAGCAGTTGTTGCCTGTCATTGGTTTAGAAAGAGTCTGCTGAAGCTGAAATATTTCTGTGTACGTGCCTTTCTGTCTTTAGATACTTGCAGGCTGAAATCTGGGGGAGGATTTGGTAGGCTGAGAAAACACCACATCCTGAACTGTAAAGCATCAACTCCCAATTTTTCCTGGTTCACATGCAAGGGATCCTCTCCTCTCCTCTCCCCAGCTCTTTGTGTGCAAATGTAAACTCGAATTCCATGGTTGCCCAAAAAAGGAAATTTCAAGCTTTGCAAATGATCTGTTTGGATTAATAACATCTATAGTCACATTTCTTTTATCCCAGAGGGCACAAACATTTCTGAAGTTAATAGCAGTATCATAACCTATCTAATATGCTATGGTAAAAATGCCTTCTGTTTGCTAACACTTAACAAATTCTTGTTGTCATATTTCAGCAGCAATTTATTTTCTAGGCCGGAAAGAGGAGAGGTTAGTTTTAAAACTAAAAGAGCAATGTTTTAAACAGTGTATGGTTTTCTAAAAGTATTACTTGTTTACTTATATACGTGATTATTCAAAAGCAAGGACTGCACTGTTAGTCCCTTAATACTAATTTCTGCTGTGTGAGGCTGTGACGGAGTTTATTCATTGACCCAAAGCACTAGAAAACTTCCTACAGCACTTTATGAAAACCTGACAAACTGACCTGCTTTTTGCTTTATGGTAAGTTACACCACTGTGATATCTCTATCTAGCTGAAGTTGGCTGTCTGAAATCTGAGGGAAAAGGGGCTGGGTTTATTTTGACCTTTTTGTTTGGGGTATTTTTTGTTTGTTTATTTTTGGTTTTGTGGGTTTGGTTTGGGTTTTTTAGTTCAAAAGAGTAGCTTGGGGTTTCAAAAAGCCTGAGAGCTGATGAAAGACTTGCCCCCTGGGGAACTTCAATAAGATCCTGTGGTGAAGAAGGAGGGATTGGCAGGAAAGGACCTGCCCCAGAGCTGGGAGGAGCCCAGGCCTCCAGGGCAGCTGGGCTGGGGGGAGAGGAGCTGTGCAGGTGGGTGATGGGGAGCTGGCAGCAGCCCCACAGGCAGCTAAGCAGCCTCAGCCTGTGTTCTGGAATGGTTTATTTCAGGGTTTTGGGGGATTTTGGGGTGGAGTTTATTTGGTGTTTTGGTTTTTTGGGGGATTTTTTTTTTTTAATGGTTTGATGCTGATAGCCGGAATCATCAGCTTCACATCTCCTTTACTCTATAAAAAGCCTTAAATGCTTTTTTCCCCCCTGTGTTTCAATTTGTGCTCATTGCCACTTGTCCTGCTGCTGGGCAGGACTGAGAACAGCCCAGCTCCCTCCCCTTTTATCCCCACATCAGATGTTCCTGCACATGGAAGAGATGCCTCCTCCAGGCTGAGCAGGCACAGCTCTCCCAGCCTCTCCTCACATGACACAGTGCCATCAGACACTGAGATAGTACTGAAAATAGTCACCTTTGACTGGAGTATTCCAGGAATTTCCCGTGTTTGAGGAACGTGTTTGACTCACCCCATTTCTCTAGGGCTGTGTCTCTGCTGTGAGGAAAAAAGCTTTCATGTCAAAACCAGGATGTCGCTGTTCTCTTTCAGTGCAGAAGTGTCACTTTAACATCCAAATGGACAACTTAGGGCCTTTCCTATCAAAAGCTGATGGATGGACCTCCCTTTCCTCATCTTTTTAGCTAGTTGGAGAGAGCCTTAGGAAAATCTTGAATTCACAATGTCTTTTCTTCACTTAGAAATTATTTTATCTTGCAGGTAACATCACCATCTAGTTAGACTCTCCTTCACAGATGAGGTCATTCTTTCTATGAGCAACCTGTGATAAGGGTGCTTAGTTTGGGTGGATGTGTAATGTACAGCAATCTCAGTTGGATTTTACTTTAGCAGTAGTGATTCAAAAACTGAAATACTATTTTTGTTGTCACTCAGGACTGGATTTTATTTCACAATTGTTCTGTGTTTTGCAGAATTAAAATATGTCTTTGTAGTGTCAGAGGCATTATTATCATGGCTTAAAAATGCTTCTTAAGCATACAGCATTTGTGTCTGCTTGTGCAATGAGAAATCATAGTGGAAGATATTAAAAATTACAATTGACCAAAAAGTCCAAGATCTTGAGAGGGAATGACAGTACTTCTTAGGCTCAGTACAACTGAGCTGTCACCTACATACTGGGTTTCACATTCTCTCTTCCTTCTTCACTCATTCTTTACCCCAGTTACATGATTAACTCTCCATTCATCATCCTATTTCACCCCTGTTTCTGTTCTTCATTATCTTCTGCACAACCTGCTGTGCCTGAGCACTGCTAATGAGCCCAGTTATTCTCATGCCCCTCAGATCTCTCCTTGTGAGTGGAAATCTTCCCACTCAGAGTTCCTCCTGTCTTCATAGTATAATATGCAGAATAATATCATGGCAAGGCTTGCTGTATTGCACTTAATCTGGCCCACTCTTGATGGGGTAACAAAGTAAAAGACACCATGCTTTATAGAGAAGGCATAAACAATTATCTATTCAATGTAGAACTCCTGGAAACAATATAGAAATAACTTGCAAAAATATTTTACAGCACTGCACAATTGCCATCTCAGAAAATGAGGAATGGCTTTAATAATTAAGTCGCATTTTGCTCACTTTTTGCTTATGAAGTATTTCTCCTAAATATCTATTAGTACTTTAGCTTGTGTAATATTGATTTGCTTATGTTTGTTCTAGTTTTGAAATAAAATGGACCCTCATATTCTATTAGAGATGCAGCATACTGGTTGCCTGGGATATTGAGAAATACATTTTAAAATACAGCATTTTACTGTTACTGTAGCTGTGATGTTTTCTTTTGTTTGCACTGTGTTGTTTTTCTTTAGAAGTTGTTTCCAAAATTACTGTGAATGGAATTTTCTTTTCATGTAACCAAATGCTCTTTGTCTTGGCAGCATTCACAAGCACAGAGCTGGCAGAGAAAGTTAGGCAGGATTTGCCTGGGCATTTTCAAAGAAGAGCACCCAGGAACTGAGATTTGAAATAATGTAGCCTGAGGTCAGGAATTTTTTCTTTGGAGAGTCAGTAAAGAACATGATTATCTGTAATGTGCAATGTACCATTGAAATAGGAAAGTATAGTGGGCAATATTCTGTACAGTGTTGCTTCCTAAACAATGCCAATTAATAATAAGGGATTTGGGCCATTTTTCAAAGAGAGATGATATTTGCTGTCAATCCTTCCTTTCCTTTGGTGAGTTAGATAATACAGTTCTAGGAGAATATGCATCATTTAATCCAATTTGAGCTTGCACTGTGCTTAACTCAAAGACAAACGTGTTCTTGACATCAGGCATTTGCCGTGTAGCAGTGAAGCCGTGTGGTTTTGGCGCAGCGCGAGGAAATCTGCTGAAACAAGAAAGTGTTTGTTTGAGAGAGAGGGCTGGGAGAGGAGCGTGGGGGGGTCCCACATGCAGAGGTAACCCCTTGCCTGGCTGGTTTCTCACGCTGTACCTGTGGAGGTGGAGCATTCCCCTCGTGCCAAGGTGCTCCTCAGTGCACGCCCGGAGCTCGAGGCAGTCCCTGGAAAAGGTTCTGCTCCCACAGCGTGGCTGGGGCTCAGCACCAGGACAGAGTCCTCTGTTTTACCCCAGCACACATTTGCATTCCACAGGTCTGGGAGACTGCGTGACCACCCAAGGCTTGGTGTTTAAAACTGATCAGGCTGGCAGCACAGCACTTCGCATCCAGCTGCGCTGCGCACACAAACTCCCCAGCCTCTGTGCTGGAAAGTCAGCTGCGAAGGATTTATTTTAGATATTGCTTTTGGAGCAGGTACATTCCTGCGCAGGCAGGATGTCCAAACCCTCTCGCTTGGCTCGACCTGTGTCGGCTAATACAGCTCCTAAATCGCCTTTGTCTAGGAAAGAAGATTTTAACAGCCGATCACGAAAAATTAGGCTAGGTGAAAAGATTTTGCGAGCTGGCAGCGAAGGAAACCTGGTTAAACAGCATCAGCAAGAGCAGGTGGAAATCACAGAAAGGCTTGTGCCACGGAGGGCTCCTTTTCTGAAAGGTAACTGGTAATTTCATGCTGCAAAAAAAAATATAGTCAAATGCTTTTGCAATCATTGTGCTTTTAATAAACCCCGAGCATCAATTATGGTATAATAGGGGGGTATATGTGTGTATGTGTGTGTGTGTTGTTTCTAAACAACAGATTCTTGCACATAAAGCATTTGTTTTGAAAATAAAAGGGCTCAAAACATTTTTGTTGTTCAATTTTGGCTGAGTGCTGTGTACAAGCTAAAAAATGTTGAGCTGTCAAAATGTCAAAATCTTTTACAGTCTAAATGTGCCACTGTATTGTGAAGCTTTATTTAAAATAATGATTTGTAGTGTGAGAATGTGAGAAAGATTAAATAGGGAAAAATAAAGGGAAAATAGACATCAGTGCAGGCACAGAATCTTTAAACCCTGCAAGTAAAACTCTTCTTTGTGGGTCCTAACAAGGCAGCTGCAACTATTTCTTGTATAAAAACTAAACAGATCAAGTGTATTTGGAAAGGCTTATATGCTTTCAGAATGCAAACAAATGTGGAGGATAATATAAGATTACAATCTACTTTCACTGATCTGTTGAGCAATGAGCTGCAAGAGCACTGCCTTTTTTTAACTTAGTTTTTGTGACAGTACTCTTTAGAACTCCATTTAAAAGTAGCCATTTAATCTGCATGGTGTAAAATGAGGGTAAATTGCCATTCTATCTGGAAATAAAAGTGGTACTATTCTAATTGTAGTCTTTATAGAGTTTATATTTAAATATGAACAAGAAGTAGAATCCCTTCAGTACAGAATAGAAATTACTGTCCCTCGATCCTAAATCCATAGGAAAAAGAAGTGTACATTATAGACCTTTGTAACTTGAAACTGTACTTTCACACACGTGGCATCCAAGGTCACAGTTTTTATTCCCACCCGAATAAGGTTTAAAAGATTTTTTTTTCCTGCAGTATGATTTTTATTATTTCACAAAGAAGGGAAAAGTGATGACACCTAGTCTTACTCAGGGAGATGGATGATCTGATTGTTTCTACAAAGGAAACTGTGTTTGAAGCACTTTATTAATGGCAGAAGAGAGCAAATAGAAAAGCTGGAGGTGGGAGGGCTTAAATTACTGGTCTCACTTACAGAATCTCTTGCTTATTTAGCAATGTAATGTGGAAACTCATTTTTGATCTTAAGATGTATTGCAGAAAAGTAAAACCTTTATTAAAAAAAAAAAAAAACAAAAAACAAAAACAGATGTACAATTCCTTATGCCCTGGTAACCAATATCTGTTGATTTTATAGTAAATTATGTTTCCCAGTCAAGTTTTTAAAATTTGAAAACTTTCATAGAAAATCCTGTAACAGTATGTTTTCCACCAAGTTAAAGTTTTTTAAACAGCAGTTTATTTCCTTTGTGTTTTCTCATTTATTTGGTGCATTGAGAAATGGAAATCATGCAGGATTTCCAGAACAAACAGTGTATCCTTTTAAGGGATGTGATTATTATGGCACTCTCTGTTCCTTTGTCACTTTACTCACTTTATCAAAATGTTGTTTGGCTATGTAATGCTTTACAACTTCAAGCAAAGGTTGCACTCACTGCTTAGAGTTTTAGGTGAAATTTCTAAGAAGGGAAATCTAGTGTATATCAGTAGTGCTGCAACATGGCTCTTGCTTTTAGTATTTATAGATTACACTTCCTGCCTTCTTGAGCATGAATTAAACCCTGTTAAGTACTGTCTTTCTGCATTGGGATGGTTGTTTTAATTTAGACAAGATGTTACTGTGAGTTGTTTTGGTAAGAGATGTTGAAGAACAAATATTGATACTTCTGAAGGGAGCATACTATAAGGGTGATGGAAATGCAGAGTGTGGGTTTTTTTCTCTGGAAATGGGACTGGCTGGATGACCCCCAATAAATTCCAAACACTGGCCAAAGTGGTTTGAAAGATGTTTTGTGAAAAGCAGATACAGACCTGGGTGGTGGAGGGACAGCAGATATGGCAGAAGCCAAAAGAAGCATAGAAGGCACAAGGCAGGGCCCTGGGGCAAGGCTGAGTAATACAAGAGAGAATGAGCAGCAGCCAAGGTGGTTAAGTGGTCTTGAAGTGGTAAAGAGGAAAAGTGGAAGAGGTGGCAGAGGGCAGATGTAGGCTGAGTGAGATGGCTAAAGTAGGAAGCATAGTGTGGGAGACAGAAAGCTCCTGTGGGAAGAAGACTGAGGCTTGGAGGAGAAAAAAAATGGTGAAGGAGGAATGGCTTTTAGGTGGATCAAAGGGGATGGAATGGAGTAGTGGGAGCAGGAGGCTCTGTTACGTGGGGACTGGGGTCCTAAACAACCTGACATGGAAGAGGAGTTTGACCAAATTTCATTATTTGTTGTGTCATGTCAGTGAAATCCCATAGTTGTGTGTATGTGCTATTCCTTAAAAGCCTGGTCTGTGCACAGGAGATCAAGCTGGCTTGTCTGGATTAGTTTTTACTGTTGAATTTTACGTGGGCAACATAATGCTGTTTCTGGTATCTTTGAAAGTTTTCAATTAATACCAAGGAGATAACATGCATGAGTGTTGCTAACAGACAGCAATCCACCAAGCTCAGTGTATCACAGATAGGAAATAAAAAATAGTGGCTGTAATTTTAACAGGACTGTAAAGCCCAATGACTCATTTTAATTACATTATATGTTGGGGGTGTTTTCTACAGGATTCTTGCCCTGCATTGTGCAAGATGAGTTGTAGTTAACTGAGAAGTTGGGTTCTATTAGCAGGGGGCAGCTTAAGGCAGAGACAAACGGAGGTAAAGCCATTAAAGGTCCAAGTGGCCACTGAGGTCTGTGTGGCAGAGACAGACATACTGCTTCAGCTTTCACAAGGGAATGCTGGCTGTGTGGATTTGGTTTTTGGTTTAGTTGCTGGATGTGCAAATCCGATTCCATGAGTTCTGATTTGCAGAGCTGAAACCACGTAACAGTAGCTGAAGTCAGTGTCAGCTGCAATTTTATTGCATGAAGTACTGTCTAATGCAGAGGACTCAAGAAGGTCATCTTGTACTTACCTGTTACTCTTCATCTGAATTTAATGGACAACTTTGACCATAATTTCTCCGGATGACAGGTTCATCTTGCTAAAAGAGAAAGGAAGGAGTAAGATAAAATTCTTATTTTATCATGAGGAATACTTAGACCCAGGCTACAAAATTTGTTGCTTGGTCTTCAGACCAAGAGTAGGAAATAGGGTTGCAGAGATAGTCTGAGTTTTGGCTTTCCCACCTGGTGAAGGACTTTCTTTGCAAACTAAACATAATTTAAGGATTTGCTGGTTTAAATAAAAATGGAGATAGGTAAACCTTTCTTTTTTAATTTTCACTTTCATGTCTGAATCAATTAAAATAGGATTTTTTTCACCTCTGGGATATGTTACTGATTGGAAAACTTTATGAATTTCTGTTACCTGTACTTTCCTCCAACAAAAGCAGAGAATGTTTGTCTTTTCAATTTCCTTTCTCTGTGCCCTTTTATTGAGTTTTGATATTTGCCTTATTACTTGGCTTCACATTGCTTCACTTTGCTTTATTTTTCACTCTATTTTTCTCCATTACAGTTTCCTCCCTGGTTTCTCCTCTGCCCTTTACTTTGCAGTTCATGATGATTGGAATGCAAGGCCAATACTTTTAGTCTAAACCTTTTGTTATCTCATATATAGTTGGATCCAAAACTAGACAAAACCTGTTTGTTCCACCCCTAGTTATTAGAAGAGGGCCAAAGAACTTTAGGGATATAGTGGGATTCATAACTATGGTCTCTTCATGCAAAGCAAGCAAGAATAGCACCATAGAAAGTGGAATAAATTGCATTTTCCCTGTTTTGTTTTTATTACAAACTCCAATGACCATATAACCCATATGTGTATTACTAATTACCTCCAAGAACATTGTGGTTTTTAAATAGATTTAGAATAATGGCCAAGGTTTGGAAATTATTCTGTCTGACATTTGAGTAATATCTATGGAATGTTTAAGGCTGAGAACTTTATTTGTCAGGAACTTCTATTTCACAGCATTTCCTGACAGGGATGTACCTACAAATACAGAACACATGTAAGACTAGGGGTTTGCCATCCAAGGAAGTTCATTATTAAAAGAATAGCAAAGGAAAGAATGTTAGTATTTAGCCTACAGTATTTTTGTTTCCTCTACAACTGTTTTAGATTCATGACAGTAGAGAAGACAGACCTTATATATACAGTACTTGTATATAAAAATGTTCATTATCTCATAAATTTAATGCTAGCTTTCTTCTTTACTACCAGTACATTTTTTTTTTCAATTTGAAATGCAGCTTTTCTACTGTGATCTTAAGAAAAAAAAAAAAAAAAAAAAAAAGAAAAATCAGAAATTTTACTGTCTTTTAGAGTAGTCAGAAAAACTATAGTGAAACTAGGGTTAGTATTGGATGTGCAACATAATACAATTAATGGTTCAAAATTTTGAGCTTGAGACATAGCTTTGATAACATATAGGGATTATATTGTTTCATTTTAGTATATTAGTATTAGAAATAGAGAAGTAATATGGGCCATTAGATTACAAAATAAATCTAGATAAAAAATTCAGGCTGGAAAGGAGCATTATTTAAGATAACTCTTGGAATTTATAGTTGCAATGTAGGAGCAGAGACCAGGCATGAAACAGTAGGCATTCTTTCAATTGCCTACATGAACATTTATTTCTATAGCTGCTGAAGGATGACTTCACCTGGAGGATGAATAGGGCAGCTGAACATCCCTCCTTCCAGTTAAGATTATGCAGTATATAAAGTGGATTTATGGTTATTGAAAACTGAATAGCTGGACATTTGTTTAGGTAAAGAATAATTGGCCTACCTCTGTTCTTATTTGCTGTGAGACTGTGACTCAGACCCAAGTATAAAATATACTTTAGCTATTTTTAAGCATTATTTCCTCCAAAAATTGGTCATGTCAAATATATCTGGCAGGCTTTCTTTCATTGGTAACCTTTTTACCC